TGTTTCATGTCTATGAGATAGAGGCTTGGGGTAAATTTAACGCAGTATACTTTTCTGCTGAAGAGTTGTATTTTTCCCCCTCCTGAAAGCCGTTGATATAAACTGGGACTCATTAAAAACACCTTGTGTTTTGCTTTTAGAAATCTTGAATTTATGTCGTTCGCCAGATCATTAGAAAGTGATGTAGCATCAGCAACTGAAGGAGCCTTATCTTGCAAGAAACAGAATCTTCTTGCTGCAGTCAATAGTAGTAAAAGGGTGCTTAGCACCTTTCAGGAGATGCTGAGCATCTCTCCCAGGCCTAAGTCCAGAGATAGCATTCCCAAAGGACAGATACAAGGATATTAAAAAAGACTTTGATCAAAGAAATATTGCTTCTTTCCTCCTTTCACTAAGCAGATGTGCAACGTGTCTTGGGAAAGAAATAGAAAAATTCCTGAGTGATTTATTTGATGAACCTAGTTTTAACCCAGGTTATTGCATGCCTGATACGGTGATGTTGGTTATTAGTTTCCAGTTGAAAATGACCAGATAGAGGACATGTTCACTTCATCAATATAATACATTTATTGGTTGTCAAGAGAGTCACATCACATAGATATGTAAATCTGTCACTTTGTCTTAAAAGTGTATTTCTCTATTACAATGTTGCTTGATGTATGTTTTAAGGCAGTAAGACCTTTTAAATATTAAAAAAAACAAGACAAGGGGCAGATTTGTCTATTCTATCACAGGATTTAAGACATTAAAAGCAGATGCATCACTTATAAAAGTAGGATTTTATCAAATACCATTGTAAATGAAAGACTCATATCTACCATGTGTAGATATGTGAATTAAAGAAACCTTCTTTCCCAAGAAAATTAACAAACTCTTTTGCTAGCATTAAGGTGGATTAAACCGTGAAGCTGGTTATTCGTTGACCACAAATCTCTGTGTCAAAAATAAAAGAGAATAGACTTTTTGCTTACATTATATGAAAAAGGAATGTTTTTAATTCTGTTTATATGGGCCACTGAAGTAATCCCAACTTTGAAAAGAATACATTCAACATTTAAACTAGAGGAACTCAAGGAAGTTAGGTGCAATTTAGTGGTCCTTTACCATTAAAAATGGCAGGAACTATCAATAGCAATAAATATTAAAAATAGCAAGAAATTCAATAATCCATATTTCTCTCTTCAAAATGTGCAAACCCAGCTTTTCTGAAATATGATGTCATTCTATATTTCAAAACAACAAGTAACACCTAGCAACGTGATATATTATGGTACAAGGGTCCAATGCTGCGATGTGCTGGCTAACAACTCTCCCTGCGCCGTGTAGAGTAAGACTAGGTTGTTCAAGCACCATGAAATACTGAACCAGAGCCTTATTATCTTCTATTGACCACATTTTTTTTGTGATGGGGCAGAGCAATATGGCATATGACTCATTTGAGATGACATGAAACCTGTCAGTGGTTACAGTGAGATTGGTATCAGGCTCTTAGGAAGTAGCTTAAGAAAATGGTTTTACCATAAGCTAGAAATTATGCTAAAGGAGAACAAATATTACTTATTTTGATCATGCAATAGTGAGTTATTGTGTGTGCTTGTTAGCACAAAGGAACTGCAGGACTGAGTATGAGACCTCCATCTACCAACTAGAAGAAATCTATCCTTGAAGGGATACTGCACTCTGGGGCTAATTCAGTAGATCCTCTGTTATGTAAAACTGCTACTAAACTTAAAACACTTCTATGTTTGCAGTGCCCCTGGAATTGGTGCTATGTTATATTATATTAAAGCACATGGTGATTTACTAGCTGGGTGTCCTGAAAAGGATGTTGCTAGGAAAGAGGAGAACATGATAATTACTTCATATGCAACCAATTAAAAAAGGCGAGAGGTGAGCATGATAGGGGGAGTTACAGAGCATGTCAGAAAGGAAATAAAAAGGATACTACAGAACTACATAACTAAGATGTGGATTTTTAACTTCTTACTTGAAGGGCTATAAATGCACAAAACTGCAAGGGAGGGGAGCTTTCAATCTAGTCTAAGGTGTTCTAACCTAGAATTTTAACGGCATTCATGACAGGGGTTTGAAGCAGTTGAGAAGTGTGGGTGTGGGTTCAGATCTTTGGTTCCAGTTCACCTCCAATGAATACTCAGCAAAGTCTAACATAACCAGTCTTTAATTCATCAATTTACATTATGGAGTCTCCACTATATATATAACTCCAGTTATAACTCACCACTTTGCGAATTATAATTCATCATCACTGATAAAAGGGTGCGAAGACTAAAAAGACACCAAGATTGATCACAGTTTCGCTGGTGTGCAGCGTGCACAGCTGGCTGCTTGGGCTTCGTGTGTTTCCTTTGAGCGGAATGGCCACTTCAGGAAGGAGAAGATGCAATCATTACAATGATTTGCCAATTTGGTTATGCTAAGGGAAGCTGCTGTACGACAAATGATAACTTGTGACTGGTGCTTCTTAAACACTCCTAAGAAAATCTCCTACTTTATTGTGTAAGGAAGTGCCTAATGCATCATCATGGGGTTTCCAGGAGAATTCCCTGGTGTGAATTTGGGATGATAACATTACTTAGATTCATTGAGGTCAATGGTGAACCTTACCATAATGATGCTGAGACTGCCATGAGGCAGAGCAGCTCTGCGTGGTGCATGGGTTGCATCATTGCAGAGAACATTATTGACTTCCTTTTAGGATTCAAAGAAACCCCACATTGTTGAGAATGCTTTTGTGTCTGTTTTCCTGTTCTCCTGGCTTCAGTTGCAAGGACAGAAGTTTCTGGGCTCAGAACCTATTAAAATGGTCCAAATGAGCTATTCAGGACCTTAAAAACATAGGTGGGAGAATGGAAATGTTTTCCTATCATTTTAAAACGATTGTTAACAACAGTTTCTGCACTGGAATAAAATTAAGTACTGACAGTCCACTTTCTCACACAGTTGAACTCCTACTTTCCAGCCAAAACTACCTAAGGCTCTAGACGTTTTAGGTGCAGCATGTACTCATGTGAACAGGTTTTTCCTGGATCTCTCCACCTGCTAGAGATTTCCAGGGATTGTACAGCTAACTACAGGATCCTGGAGTTAACAGCACTCACATAACCGCTCGCCATTCCCAGAATGAAGACTACACCCTGGGAATTAATTTGGTTTTTGTGGTAATCCCACTGGTGGCCCAAGACTCTGCAGCTCCTTGCTGGGCTGCCTTGAAGGAGATGGAGATGAGGCTCTGCTGGGGTAAGGGAGTTTGCAGGTACTCAGTAACCAGCAAAGAGACATGGCTCATAATAACAGGTACTGACCTTGCCTGCAAGCATCCTATCCCTGAGTGCACCTGCCTCTTCCTTCCTACCCCATCATTGCTAGCATATTATCTCCTGCCTTGGTCCTCTGTCTTTTCCCTCCTCCTTCTGCTCCCCAAGCGCCCTGGTCCTCCCCTGGCTCTATCCATATGTACACACGTCTGCCTTCATGCACCAAGCATAGTAGTAGTAGTAGCTTTTATTACTCTCAGTTCTTTATTAATGCCACATGTGCTGTTGTAAGGTTAAGTTATTAAGTGATATCCAATAATTGTCTCTGCTCTAAAGTGGACGTTTCATTTAACTATACTCATGTGGATCTGTTTCAGTACCATTTATCATGACCACATTTTAAGCAACATTTCAATAGGCTATTTCTCTCTTTCCTTTAACTAGATTACAGTTACTTTCCTGTAACTAGACCTAAAAGGTCCCGGTCAAAAATTAAATACAATAACCTTCAGAACAGCACAAGGGAATGTGGGGTTTGCATGTGCTTTGGAAGATAAAATACGTCTTTTACCAGGCTATCTTCTCAGCTGTGAAGTTAATTTTACTGTATTTGTGCACTTGCTGGAAATGCTTACATGAAGGCACACAATGACCTGTTTAGTTTGCAGGAGAAAATGATGTCATTTGCAAGTAAGCTTTCAGCTGTGATATTTTATAATTGTTTAGATGAAAACCTGATAATCCTCTACTCCTTCACATAAACTGCAATCCGTCTTTAAAACTGTGATAATTCATAAAACCTGCAGCTTAATAAACTAACAAACCCCAGGCCTATGTTATTTTAAGGGAAGTCAATCTTTGATCAGTCAAGCTGAAATGGGTCTGATAAGTGGAGGCCTTACTCACGGGGAGCAGCACTCCAGTTTGTTATTGCTATTTGCTCATCATCCTCAAGTGCAAAATAAGCAGAAGTCTTTCCGAGCTTCTTATCTCTTTTCACTTTCTTCTCTAGATCTCTGTCGCTTTAATCCAGCATGTCTGCTGCTGGTTAACAAGGAAATCCTGTGTCAATTATCGCCAACAACTTCCTGCTGTGAAGCTGTGGGGAATCAAAGCTTTTGAGAGCCTTTTTCACACCAGAGAGTAGTGCAGGGCCTAATTAAATGGCCCTCATATCCTGCAGCCTACTGGTGGCCAAATGATAGAGAGCTAATGAATGATAACCTAATTTTTTTCCAGGAATTGTTTTGATTCTTCCGGTCAGTTGTGCTTATTGAGTCGTGGCTCATTGTTTGTGCTTAGGGCTGAGGAGGGCGTCAAAAGGCAAAACTTGGGGCAAGATACCGATCTGCTCGGTTTATTGTGCACAGACCTTCGATTATATAAATGTATATATTGCATATCGGGAAGGGTATTAGCTAAAAATTGCTTTGCTGAAATGTGTTGCCCTCTTTCCTCGATATGAATTGCTTTGGTGACTCTTACACACATGTGGGCTGCAAAATCGTCCTATAAATCCCCCTCATAAATGCTATCGCCACAGTATTATTTTGACAGAATCGCAGAATAAGGTATCTGCCATCGCGCGCGCACAGCTGCCCCGCTTCCCCTTTCTCTTGCTTCTTCTCTTCTAAATTTGTTCTATGAAAAACTTGATCTCCTGCCCCAACGAAACTGCAGCGCTTGTATGGCTGCCGCTGGAGGTTACTTAACCTTATGCTAAAATTGCGCACAAAAGGAACACAAATCTATGCAGCTCTGCTGCTTTTAAGTTTGGACAAGCACCCTGAATCGCCTCTGCTGCCTTTGCCTGCTTAGTGATGGTGTTCTGTGAGCACTTAGTCATTGCAGTCCTGTGCTGAGCACTGCCTGCATTAGTGCCCGAGTAAGGTTACCAGCAACAAAACAACCTTAGGAATAAATAAAATACCCAAGCAAGATACTTGCATTTACCCCAATTGTTCATTTCTGAGGTCCTATCGTAGTGCATGTGCATGAGGTGACAGACTTAGAGGTACCATGGGAGCCCTAACTCTGAATTTCCTGACTTTTATGGTTTTACATTACAACTTTAATGTTCCATTAGCATGGTTTTTTTTGTAGTTAATTTCCTTGGGGAGCTTGGGAGAGTTCAGGTTGTTGGGTTATTTTATCTTATATTTAAATAAAAGCGGGAGAAAGATGGGTCAGCTCTGCCCAGCTGCTTTGGAATGTTGAAAAGGATTTAACAGGAATCCTTTCTTTTCTAGAGAGGAGCAAATCAAAAATGCCAGCCAGAAGTTATGCACACCTGCTTTCAAACAGTGAAAAGCTCAGGGGCTGTCCTGCCTCATTCCAGCCTCATTCCATAGCCACAGCTCTGGCTGTGTTAAGGTATGTTTTTGAAGTGATTTGGTTTAGGGGGTTTTGTTTGCTCTTTGGTTGGCTTGGGGTTATATGCATATGCTTTTGGCAACAAAGCTTGCAAGTTTGGAAAGCCTTACCTTAACTAAGCTTTCTTCCCTTCACAGTCAAATTTATTTACAGCACGAAGTCTGTAAAGTGCTTGATGCTTCTTTCGCATCCAGACAGCACTTACATATAAGGGCTTGAAGTCTAAGATAGAGACAGGGGAAGCGAAGCACCATGACAATTTGGCAGGCAGTTAGATGTGCTGTAGGTTGCATGGCAGAAAGTTGTTGTTCATCTCAGCAAAGGAAAATGCTCAGTGAGAAATTGAGAGGTGCAGGAGCAAGGCATAAATAACTGTTTCACTGCGGTCATCTTAAATGAACCAAGAACCCACTGCTCTTCAAAGCTCAGCCTTTCAGGATGGAAGGAAGAACTTGGCTGCTGCAGTGCAAAGATGGTCAACCAGTGCCAAGCAGGAGGGAAAGAAGGTAGCAGGGGAGACAAGGCGTTTCTAAGGTGGGTGACACACTTCTGCAGTTAGTATTTGTTAGTATTGGCAGGTCAAATACTTGGACTTTGACTGTGCTTTCTTGGGTCAGGTGAATATAAGCATACCATGCATTTAAAAAGAGTCTTCTCCTTTGGACCATGAATATTAGAAGTCAGGCCTTTGATATTTTATTGTTACTTTTAGTAATAAATTAGGGAATATTTTTTATTTAATTGTCTATTTATTTGTTTATTTATTTCTGTGCTTGGGTCTTTTAATTCCAAAACTCTAGATGTGCTGGTTGCAGGGAAAGTTAAACTTCAGTGAAACGGGAAAGGCTCCCATAACCACATGACTCGGGGGGCTGCAGATTCAAGAAGAACACCTGTGAAACACTGTGATTAAGGTTACCAAGAGCCAAGCAGCAGTTTCCTCCCTTAGATAATGAGTGATAAAGGTGCTCTGAAAATATGGATGAGGCTATCTTTCCTTTCTCTTTCCTTCCTTTCCCTGCTAGCCCTCTGATCCCCCAGCCCTGGCTGCTGTTCCCAAACAAGACCGCCTTGGCTGTGGATTGTATTTTCCCTGATATAAATGATTCACTTGCAGCCATGCTCTGCCTCCAGCAGCCAGTAGAACTCCTGCCATCAGTTATAAAATGCTCGAGGGTTTAAGCAGCAGAAGAAGCAAGTTTTAAGGCCCCAAGACGGAAGAGCATCTTAGCAGATGTGCACTAAGTATCCAAGTGTCCCTTTCCTGGTGCTCACTTTTATGTTTAAGATTACAAATGGGGTTATGAATCTTGCTGAGGTGAGGAGTTAAGCCAATATCTCACTGCTCAGGTACCAACTCTGTTCTTCTTAACAACTGCTGACACAATGAGCATTTGCTACCTTATGGAGTGCAAATTTTATTTGCTAGTTTTGGAGCCAGTTAAATAGCTTGATAGTTCAGTTAAGGGTATTGCCCAAATCAGTACACTGACTTGTGGCGTCTTGCTCTATAGGTGATGCAATTAATTCGCATGCATACTCTTCTATTTTTTGTAAGGATATATATTTTTCCCCTTCGATTAGGATTAAAACCCCCATAACGCATTAATTACAGTTTGTGTCAGCTCTAAAACCCCTGTTTTTGTGCATTTTTACACCCCCAGAAAACAAAGTCTTAAATGTACATTTCCCTTAGCTATTAATAGCGCTGGTGGATATTTGCTAACAGATGACATAGAGTGATGAGGCTAAAAGGAAATAGATTTGAAACAGTCATTCTGTGCTTCCTCTGGAAGCGCCAAGAACATTTCAGGGTTTACAAATCATGGCCCGTATTTTACTTCCAGCTCCAACAGTATAAATTTAATACTCTGCATAAACCAGGATTTGATCCATACTTTCTAAACTTCCAAATATATTACTTAATAACAGAATAAATACGCACCCTTTCAAATCCATGGGGAGCTTTACCTGACAATGTAATGGGCTAAACAGCTTCAAGGATTTGATAATAATTCACTACAAGAATATTTCAGCTCGTTGTATTTGTTTTTTCTTCCCAGGCCCAGCCTATTTCTTTTATTAAAAATGATAAAGACTTGATCGTGCTTTCATTTTAAGCATCACTGCACCAGGTCTGATATAAAGTTATTAATTTTTTTCATCCTGGTCTGCTTCTCAGATGGAAACAGAGTATTTGCTTCTATTCACACCATACACCAAACTATGAATATTATTTCAGTTATGATTTCCTATGTGTCTGTACTAAGGAAAGAGTGGAAATAAAGGACAAAACCAATAAAGATTCAAAACCAAAAGCATATGTATGGGAGAGTAAAACACAAAACAAAACAGGGGCTGTTAAACAGATGACTCCACTGAAATGTGAAATATTCCACAAGTTTTGGCAACTTTGAAATGCTGCACTTTCTACGTTTCTTCTATTAATCATTTGAAGGGACTTTTTTGGGGAGCCAAAAGACAAAGTATTCCCTAACTGCATTACTGATTGTGTGCATGTAACTCCAGCCATAACGGCGTCGACAAATGTGATGAAAAAACCAAGGAAGTGGCAATGAATTGAAAATTTATCAATAATCATCAGAACAAAAATATGACAGACTCTTAGGCAAATGGCAATAAAATGGACTATAAAAATCAGGAAACAGACCGGCTGAGTGTCTAGAAAACGTTAGGAATGAAGAAAAGGGACGATTTTGATGGAATGTTTTCAGACAAAAATTAATTCCTCCACCGCTGAAATGAGTCAAATAATGGAAAGCTGGAAAAAAAAAAAAGAAAAAGTCCACAATGGGCAAATCCCTGTAGATCCCAAGCAGACAAAGCTTCTAGCACCAAATAAAACACTGCTCCAGCTTAGGCTCCACATTATCAGCTTCCTTTGGGAAGGTTCAACAATTGACAGAACCAGTTATTCCAATTAAAAAAAAAATAATAAGAAAAAGAATCTGCATATTAAATAACACAGTTGTGGAGTAAACATAAAAGTCAGTAAAAGAACAGTAAAAATACCTTTGCTCATAGCAATATGCTATTCATTTAGTTGCCTGGAGAGTATCACTCATGAGTCCTTTAAGTACTGTCACAACAAATCATTGGAAACTGATGAATACACAATCCAGGATCCCAAACAACAAACTATTACAAACTATCTATGTGTGAAAAGACTGCTGGAAATTCCTCTAAGCCTCTGTAAATAGCTTTGAGTGAGGCTGGTTGAGGGCCAGATGCCCACCAGAGGCAAATCCCGATTTTTAACTTGACTATAGCTGTGCGTTTTATACCCAGTAAAGGCTTTCCCTTCTGAAAATGTGAGACCCCAGTTTTTCTTTCTTCAGTCAGGAAACTAAGACAATAACGCCTCTTGGTGCAACCAGCCTATATGCAAAGGTATAGGGTAATTATGATGTGGACTTTTAAAACCTGGATAAAATTTAGTAGCTATTCCTAGATAGCTGGTATGAAAGCAAAGCATGAAAATGAAAAGGTAATCTGAATTGGCCAGGGCAATATGATCTCACCACAAAGTTTACATTTAAACTTTATGTTCCTCTACAGAGGCTTATACTTTATGCAGAGTATCTCCAAAAGCATCACAACAGCAGAAGAGCCAATACAGTTATATGTGTATTACAAACACATGGCACTTGCCTGGCTTTCTCCAGCTGCAGATACATCCTGAGGCATGTGTGGGGGAAAAATGAGATATCTGAAAGCTTAAAAAGGTGTATTTTCACATGGATTTAGGTTTTTCAGAATGTGCTCCGTTTTTCCTGCGCCATGCCAAAATACCTCATCTGTAAACTGAACACTTAAATTGTTTCATTTACATGTAATCACTAATTGAACTATTGAGTGGAAGGGATAGTCAGGTTAAGAGCAAACAAACCAACCAACCTGATCTTTAAGTATTCTGTTATCTTAACCACTTTTGGAATGCTGATGAATTAGTGAATCGGGGTGTCAGGACCATTGCAGTCCAAATAAATGTACTCAAGTTGCTAGAGAGAAATGATGGGGGAAGGATGCTGTGTTCCAGGGATGTGTCTGGCCCTGGGAAACTGATTAATGCTTCTGGTCATTAAAAATACTTTAGGCAAATAGATAGGCACAGGTGAGGGATTGCTTTCAAGATGAAGGCATGTGGCTGAATAATGATAACCTTACTCTCACAATGGGGCTCAACATAACAAATGGAGCAGAGCTACTCATTTGAGGAATTTAAGCAAAACGTGACCCTTTAAAAGCACTTTCCATGCACAGAAATTCAATGGTTACATTTGGAGACTTTAAGGCACAGTGACTCAACACATTGTGCTAAAAAAATTGAGAACAGCAGTTTTTTTCCTCTCCAAGATATTTCCTTATTGGAATTTGGATTGTCCCCCCACCGAACGCATCAGAATAGACCACAGCTTTCTTTAAGTGTTTGACTGGCTTCCTTTATAGGCTGGAAATTGCATGAGTACAACGAAATCCCTCTCTCTTATTTTGTATATATTCTTCTTCTTTCTAACTAAACCCCAGAAATACAAACCTGGGGGTATTTTTAGGGAAATCTCAGGATTCTGAAAATATGCAGAGCATTTGAACTAAGAGCAGAGTACCTCAGACTGAGGGTCTTCTTGATTTCCTTCCCTTCTGTCTTTTTTTTTCCTTCTCATCTGAAACAAACTGATTATCAAAGCTCAGTCAGTGAGCCTAATGCTTTGCAGTGTGTGAGACACTAAACTCAACAGACATGCTGTTCAGTTAGCTGTGAACATCACATCTTTCTTTCCAGGAATAAAGGTTCCAAATGTCAATAGCAGTTTTAGCCATGTTTGATAGGTAATGTCTGAGATGGTGCTTTCTCAGACCCTAGCTGTAAATGAGGATTACTAAGAAGTTTTATGCATTTTGTTATAAACTGAGACCAACTGTGAAGTGGCACTGACATGTACCAGCAAAAACCCGACAAAAATCAAATACTTTTCTATGCCAATTGTGCACAAAGAGCTGGATCTAAGCGTTATTATAGCAGAGCCTTTCATGTTGCTATAGCCGTGGTTGTGTTTGCATTTCCATAATAAAACCTATTTTCAGGGGGTTTATAACTCGGCTGTAAGAAATTTACTCTGCGCTCCAACTTGGCATAACAAGGTATCAGCCAGAGAGCTGCAGCCCTCGAGCTTTTACGTTCCCTCTCTGCTGCAGGAAGAAAGGGTTTGTTTGTTTGCTTGTAGGTGTTTGCTCAAATTCAGTCTGGAAAGCCAACATGAGCATGTGTAGGACCAGAGGCTAGTCCCAAATCTCGATCTGTCTGAAGAAGTCCTGGTGATAAGTAATGAGGGGAACGGTACATAGAGCTGGGTACCAGGAGACGCTGGAGTGAGGCATTTTTACTAAGAGCCAGCCCCATATTCACTCTGCTGTTCAGTCCTTCATGTGTTAGGTGATAAATCGCTTGTGGCAACACAAAAAATGCACAGTTTGCAGGACTAGTGTTTTTTTCTGGGGGAAAAGTAGAGAAATCAAGCAGGAAAAACTGAAGAAATTAGTTTCACAGAGAGCTGACAGTGGGGGGAGCAGCCTGGTTTCTTACAAAACAGAGTTTCAGTCTGTAAACCCAGTTCTGCTGCATTGTGCTCTCTGAGCACAGGGACCACAGGGAAATACAGCTGCTGTGCAAGTGTGTGGTGGGAGACGGAGAAGGGATTTTTTAGCTTCTTTTCAGACAGCTGGAGCGTGAGAAGTTGGAGAATGGATGCATTAAACTAGAGCCTGTGCTTAGTGCAAGCCACTGCATAGGTTGGTATGGCAGGTAATGGGCTCCAAGGGACCCTCTGCTTAGCAGCTGTGCTGTGTTTCCCACTGGAGCTCTTCCAAGACAAATGGCTTTTTTCTTGGGGGACTGTAGGTAAGACTAGGAGTCAGGAAGTAATAAAATCTCATTATTGCTATTTATTGTTAGTAAACATTTACACAATGGTAATATCTGTTGGTGCCAGCCAGGTACTGGCTGTTTCTCCATCACGCTCTATTTCAGCTGAGCCCTCAATGACCCAACATCAAGCCCCTGCAGCCTTTGGAAGACTGGACTTCCCTATGACTTTGCATGACCTGGTCCTTTGTAAGGACTGATTATTAGAGCTCACCATTGGGAGGATGGGGTCCAATACTCAGTTGTTGTGGAGGACGTGGCACACTGAAGTATCTGGTGTATAACTATGTTCCCCAGTACTCCCTATAACAGGAATGGACTTCTCCCAGTCACTGATTGAAGGGGGGGGGGGGGCAGACAGATCTTTACAAGCTGCAAAGTTACTCTATCTACAAGGCACAGACAGCCAGAACCATGGGGAACACAGGATGGAAGCAATCTGCAGAGCAGATTTGCCTGGAGCTATGCTGCCTTTGAAAGCAGTGATACTGCTGGCGGCGTGGGGAGGGAGGCAGGCAGAGATGCA